CCCAGCTCGAACCTGGCGAACTGCTGACCCGACGACCTGGCAACCTGGCGACCTGGCAACCCGGCGTCGCATTCATTCATATATTAGAGAGTCAAACAAACGCGTCCATATGCAATTCATTTGCTGCCATTCAGAAGACGTGCCACGCCCAGCCGCAGCGCCACTTCAGCTGAACGGCCACGCCCCCCACACACACTCGCACACGTATGTGGTGTGCGGGGTGGGCGAGTGGAGGGCAGAGGTGTATGTCAATTAAAGCGCTGCCGGTGCCGCCTAATTGGATTTATGCCACATTTATGTGTAGGTGCAAATTCGTGGAATTGCGGCGCAGCGAAACTCGTGCTAAAAATCACCAGGATAATGAGCGGCGCAGAGAGCTCGGAGCGGGGAGGGTGGGTTGGAGCAGTGGCAGCGAGGCCATTAGTTGAGCCAGAAACTCGACGTGAAACCTGGCCGAAAACAATTGCAAGTTGTTGTTGTTGTGAGTACCAACAACTTTCGAGGACTTAAAATGAAATTACGCGAAAACTTTCGGACGCAGCAATGCCAACTTTTTGAAGAGATCAGCCTGCCACGAGTGTGCGGAGCGGTTGGGGGCATTTCTATTGCGGTTTCTGCGTTGCGGCACGCACAACTTGCAACTTGTGCCCGTGGACTCATAATGAGTTTCATAAATTAACACAAATTAAAGATGCGAACAAGTAATTTACCTATACGAACTAACTGGGTTTGTCTGAATCTCGTATAGGCACAAAAGGCCAGGCATTAAAACACACAGACACAGACACACACACACACACACACACACACACACAGCTGCAAGTCGTATCCTTTGTGCAAGTTTTGCGGCCATTGGTTTGTAATTAATGTGACCAGCAGCTGACCAGGAGCTGACCAAAAGGCAGCCTTGACTCGCCTGCGGTTGCCTAATGTTGGTCAGAAATTGCCCCGCAGCAGCGCACAGTCACAGTCACTGTGAATGTCACTGTGTTTGTAACTGTAACTGTGACCGTGGCTGCGACTGCGATTGCGACTGTGACTGGGCTCAAATGCGGTCGCGCTTGAGGCGTCGTTGAGTGCTTTTCTGTTTAATTTTATTAATTATCTGCGTAATCTTTGAAGTTGTCTGTGTGTCTGGATGCGTGTGTGTGTGTGCGTCTCCATATGTGTACAGCTATGCATAAAGGTTGGGGTTTCCAACTGAGGGCGCATTCCCTAATCGCATCAAGCTGTACGTGTGTCCGTCCTTGACAGCCAGGCAAAAAGTTAGAGAAACTTCAACAGCCGGCGGGCATTTAGACAAAAGACCCAAAGAAATCGAATTAGACATCGGTTGCAGGGCATCGAAGTAGAAGAAGCAGAAAATAAATAATATAATTAAACATCGATTAAAACTCTATAAATGTTGGCTCATAATTAAAAAGTTTTATTTGCACGAGCATGCATTAGCAACATAAACAAAATCAAACAAGTAAGAGGCTCTAGTCGAGAGCTCCCGACTAGGGGATACCCTGAACTCTCTTCTTCCAACATCAGATGCATATATATATTATATTTTCTCTTATTATTTACCAAAATTGCCCAAAAAACAGGATATCGATATAGATTTTTATCGATTGCTTGGAAACGGAGTAAGTTATCGATTATCGGAAGCATACTCGATCTGCGCAGGCACTAGGAAGACCTACATCTAAAATTTCAAGTCTCTAGCTCTTATAGGTTCTGAGATCCTTGCGTTCATACATACGGACGGACGGACAGACAGACGGACATAGCTAGATCGACTCCGCTATTGATGCTGATCAAGAATATATATACTTTATGGGGTCGGAGAAGTTTCCTTCTGCCTGTTATATACATTTGGATTTTGCACAAATACAATATAGCCTTATACCCATTTTTGATGGGTTCAGGGTATAATCATCGAAAAAGTTTCGATTTTCGCACCGACCTCTATTTTGAAAAAAAGGGTGATGTAACCCCTTGCCATTTTGTCAATTTGGACAAAATTTTGGATTTCCTTTTGTTTGATGCTAGTCAATAGAACTGATCCTTACGAGTCAAAAATGGTATGAAATTGCAAAATCGAACATTATTTGATGGAAATATTCCAAAAAATCATCCAAAAGGTTGAATTTACGAAAGAATCGGTTTTTTGTCAACAACATTTTTCAACCCATCGATGATTAATTTGTTTAAATGCCAATTGATATTAGGGATCCGTACGCATTCAAAAAGATAAAACATTTTAAAATCAGACATTATTTACCCGAGGTATTAAAAAAAAATCATCGAAAAAGTTTCGATTTTCGCACCGACCTCGATTTTGAAAAAATACGTGATGATTTGGAAGGTCATATCTCCGCGCGGAGTTATGTCATTTTGGAACGTCATATCTCCGCGCGGAGTTATGTCGTTTTGGAACGTCATATCTCCGCGCGGAGTTATGTCGTTTTGGAACGAGTTATGAACAAATTTAAATATATCTTTCTGCGCTGGATCAACATTTCTGTGTGCTAAATATTCCGTGAAATACGGATAAGTCCCGGCGACTATTCGAGCAGGATTTCCTGGGCAACAGACGGTGCGATTTGCTGGCACGGGCCTCCATTGCTGGCAGTTTAACATGGCAACGCGGCCAATTAGGCCAACACTTGACCCAGCGTTTGGGTTCTAGTTCTGGGCGAAGTAGCAGCTGCTGCTGAATGTGGAGCGGGGGCTAATCCCAGCCGCTGATTGGGCTTACAGAGCTGGTTGTCTGGCAACCGCGACTGAATGCAACCACAGGGTGGTTGGCTGGGAATGCAAGTAGGAATGGGCAAGGAAACGGGAATGGGGATGGAAATGGGCATGGGCATGGGGTGTGATATTGGGCCGCAGGCGTGGCCTAGGCGTTTTATAGGCGTTATCAGACCTCAGCGAGGGCCTTTTCAAAGATCTTTTCCCAGCGGCGTAATTTGAGCGCAAATATTGAAGTTTTAAACCAGCAGCGCTAATAAATGTTATAATCATAATGAGCAAATGTTTAAACAACGGCCTGATTGTGGGAGGGGGTGGGTCGGGTTATGGGGCATCTTTCGCCCACATCTTTATGCCCCGTTGCATAAATTTCGCGGCGCCGGAAAGCGACGATGGCGATAAGCGTAGCCAGTAGCTAACCGAACGGCCACATGCGCTGAAGCAGCCCTCGTAATCGCGATTGCAATTATGAATGAAATTTGAATTGCAAGCGCGGCAAGGGAAGGCAGCATCTTACCCCCGCCCCGCCCCGGCACATCTCATTCGCGTGCCACGTGCCGCGGAACGCAGTGAGAGCTGTAGCGGGAGCTGGCGCTAGAGCCGGGACCAGCGCCTGGTCACGTGTCGCCATTGGCAAGGATGCGGCTGCAGGAGGCGGCAAGGGGCGGCGCAGTGCGCGGAGCGGAAGTGCCAATAAGTAGTTGTCAATATTGACTGATTATCTCAACACGGCGAAAAGTGAGCGCAGGGGCGGTTGACAGTCGTGATTGCGACTCGAACGGAAGCAAACATAAATCACGGCGCCATAGTTAGGCGGGGGGAATTGAGTGTGTGGTGTAGGAGGGGGGCTTGGGTATGATTCGCCGGGCAATGCAATTATTTAGCAGGAGATAGCAATAATTTAAGTCGGGCAACTGGAGACTGGCGACAGGCGACAGGAAGAAGCTGCTGCCATTTAGTTGCACCAACAGGAGATGCGCATAATTGCATCTGATATCAATGGACCCAATAACACTATACAGCACAATTCAGTTAAGTGAATGAGGCCAGGGTGGGAATCAACAAAATTATGTACAACTTTGATTGTGTGTATAAATAAAGTTACTGTGGAGCCAAGCAGCTGGGAATGACTCCGGCCAGAGCAGAACAAAATCAACTACTTTAGTTGGGGGTAACCGTTTAGAACATACCCTATAGACAGCATCAAATCGCCTAAGTGGAATCTTTATTTATTCAGTAGTAAGCTGGATATTTTTGGTTACCAGATTGAAATAGTTTTTGAGATCGATGCATTGTTAAGATTTTATATATGCATATAATTTATAAGTTCAGAGAAACCTTCTTTTGCCTGTTACACACATTTTCATCTTATTACAATACCCTTTTCAACGCTTTCATTCAATGAGTTTCAAGCGTTTGAAGCGTGTGTAAACTGCTATGACTAACTGTATGGTAAGTATACTTCATAAAGAGATATTAATAAGTAGCAGCAGCTACAAGTAATCCAATGCATCAATTAAAAAGAAATTAAAATTCGATTAATGACTTTTAGATACTCTCAGACTTAAGTTAAATTTGAAATGATTAAAAACAAAATTTATACTCCAATCTCAGAGTATCTATAATTCTTTGATTCGAATTTTAATTATTTTTTAAATAAAATTAAACATTTTTTCCCTAGATTTACTCTTGTGTAATATTTTATACAGTTTATTTATATGTTATGCTATATTTTTTATTTTACAAATTTCAGAAGAATACTTTATATATTTCTTTATATATTTTTTAGAAAAACTTCCTGATTCTAGGTTTAATTTCTAATTTCTCAAAGAGTTCGCACTTACGATGTTCTTAATTTGCAGTGTATATGTGACCATAGAGTGCAATTCTTGCCTACAGTAGCTAATCAATAAGATGAGGTCGTTAATTTACAAAGTAAATGAACTATTAAGAAGCGTGAGTCACACAATATATGCATACTTATGTACCCCCATATAGTAGTAAGATATATATGGTAGTAAGATATATATATATATATATATGTTTATGCGCACAAAAATTATTATGAAATTATGTGAGAATGTTCTGCGAGTAAAACGGCGAGTAAGATCGGAGTCGGGGTGAAATCTTGCATTGAAATGTTTTGATAAAAGTCGACTCGGCTTATCTTCCGCAACGCAAAGCAAAGGCTGGCGGAGACATGGACACGACTGAGGCGCCTCAGTCATAGTTCGTATTTGGAATGTCGCACAACTGTCGAACAAGCGCAGGGCTATTCATGCTGCTGCTGCTGTTGCAGCAGGAACTGCCGTCAACGGAAGCACGTTGCAATAAGCCCGACGATCTGGCCAATGGCTCCGTGTGGCAGCGACGTAACTTTCTGCGATTCCGATGCTTTACCAATTATATTTTAATGGGCAAACCGATACTCAGTTGCAGCATGAACGGACGCATCAATGACGAACGGCCTTTTTGTGCCAGTAAGTACCAGGCACGAGATTTGCTCTTACACTAGGGAAAAAAAAAAACAAACTCGTGCAAAGAAAAACAACAAAAGATGAAAGACGATGATCTGTGCAATTAAATGTAAAAGATTGGATTGACTTGGACTGTCTAGCAACAGTTCAAATCCGTTGGAACACGCATTTGTCGTTGTATCTTGTTTATTTTTGCGACTGTAATTAGATATATTGGTTTCTAACCTCACTCAGGGGCTGGCTGTACGCAGCCGAAAGATCCGGAACATGGTAAAATCGAGCTGCAGCGTGGCCTCGCCGCGGTGGTCGTTTGCATGGACGAGTACGTGGTCGCTGGCAATGCTTTGGCCTATTGCAATGGCCACAATTGGGATCGCTTGCTGGGCGTTTGCCGGCATCGCAATCATTCGCAGAGTCACGCCTGTGATTTCGAGAGCGAGGATCTGTGCGGCTGGGTGCCGCAGCAGACGCTAATCCAGCCCTGGAAACGTGTGGCCACCGTCAGTCACTTTCACTCGTATCGGACGGGACCGCGACACGATCACACGCTCCAGAATGCCTACGGAGGACACTATATGCTGATGGAGACAACAACATTTGCTGTGGGCGATCATCATTTGCTTTCGCCCATCTATCCACGCGAGCTGAGCCTGAAGACCGCCTGCTGTTTCCGCTTTCATTATTTTATGTACGGTTCCGGCGTTGGTACTTTAGTTGTCTCCGTCAAGCCTCAAGAGATGCGTGTGGAGCAAATGTGGAGGCAAAATCGTGATAAGTATGCACACAAATTGAAAGCGGATGCCGCGATAACGCGCTCAGTGTACGCTCACAATCGCTCTCTCACTCTCTTTCTCTCCGTCTCTCTTGCAACCACATTTAGATACTCGAAATTCGTGGCTAAGGGCAACAAGGGCAACCAATGGCTGGAGCACACGATTTTCATTGATGAAATGCCCGGAGATTTTCAGGTCGTTTTCACCGCCACCGATGCCACTGCCCAATTCGGCGACATTGCCATTGATGATGTACGCCTGATGACGGGCAGCGAGTGTGGCGGAGGTGGTGACACCACCACCACAGAGCCACCAGTGCGTGAGACACTCGAGCCCGTAGTCTACGACATGATGAACTGCAGCCAACGCTGTGGCCAGCCGGCACCACTGGACGATGAGCTGCGCTCCGATGGCAAATTAATCAAGTCCTGCGGCTGTGATCTGCTTTGCTTTGACAGTTGCTGTCCCGACTATTTCACCACATGTTTGTTTCAAGTCGAAGAGACAACAACTGAGGAGGCGGCAACAGCACCACCAGCACCACCACCAACTACTACAATAACAACAAACACTACGACAACACCGAAACCAACAACAACGCCAACTACTGTCAGAACAACAACAACAACCACAACCAAAAAGCCAGCAACAACCAAGCCGACAACAACAACAACAACTACAACTACAACTACAACTACAACTACACAGCGCACCACAACAACAACTCGCAGAATACCACCAACAACAAGAGCAACCACTGCTGTGACAACAACAACCACAATACGGCAAACGCCGAGCACACCCAGAACACACGATACTGCAGGTCGGCTATATATACTCTTGATCAGCATCAATAGCCAAGTCGATCTAACCATGTCCGTCTGTCTGTCCGTTCGTCCGTTCGTATGTATGAACACAATGATCTCAGAACCAATAAGAGCTAAGGACTTTCAATTTTGGCTGTAGGTCCTTCTAGTGCCTGCGCAGATGTTTCCGATATTCAATAACTTACTCCGTTTCCAAACAATCGATGCAAATCGATATCTAAATCCTGTTTTTTTTTAGCAAATTGGGTAAATGATAAGAGATAGAATCACCAAACTTTATTTGTTGCTTTTAGAATGGTGTATATATAGGTAGAGGCGGCGACAATTTGGTGTTGGAATAAGAGGATTCAGGGTATTTCCTAGTCGGGAGCTCCCGACTAGAACCTCTTACTTGTTTTTTTCGAATTAGATCTATTGTTAAGGTATATAATTCTCATTTACAGCAAATCCCACGCAACCTCATCGTAAACGCATGAGCTGGACAGTCCAACCGGATGATTTCAAAGGGGACAGCGACAGGCAGACCGGCTCGAATCCGGCTCGGTTCATGTGGTACCTCATGCTGGCCACCATACTGATCGTTATCGCGGTCAGCATTCTGTATCGCTGGAAAAGACCCAAAGGCGCGCTCAACGAGAAGGCGGTCAGTTTTCAAAAGACCTTTGCCAAGCTGAAGAAGGCGGCGCTCTTGAAGGGGCATCGCAACGGAGCAAACGAGGCAAATGCTCCACTTGTGGTTGACGATGATGATGTTCAGTTCGAGGAAATGGGTGTGGATATACGCAATGTGTCGGAGCTTTAGCTCGAGAATGGAACGAATGTGTACATATGCCTATCTATAGATACCTCATCTATGAATACAATCTACTTGTTATAAGCAAAAATTATAATTTTATAATGCTTAATGCGCACTGTTTTACTATATTTGAAATTAAATTTTAATGTAACTAAAAAATTCAATAATTGATTGGATTGTTTTTGGAAATTAAAAACAAATGAAAAGCGTATGAATGTTATTTTGAATTCCAGATTACTAAAGATTTAAAAAATTTCAATGAATCTTAAAATTGCAGTTCATTAATGAATCTCATTTTATTTTTAATTTCCCTGCTGTAATAGTTATAGGAACTCGTACTCAAGGAAGATTCATAAGATTTGGGATTGGTTTTGTGAAGATACAAAGTATATGTTAGTTATGCAATTGTTTGAAAAATTGAGCTTAGGTTCTATAAGGTTACGATTTCTTTTTGCAAGTCTTTTAATATATTCATATTGTCATATATTCAATCTAGAGCTTACGAACTATTAAATTGCACACCTCATTTTAATAATGTGAAATCTGCAATTTAATGCCGGCTTCTCAAATTATTTGATCAAATTTTCCGGCAATCTGTGTACTTATTGTCACATAAGGGAAAAATCTGTTGCATATATCGATTAAGTTTCAGATTCAGATTCAGATTCAGATTAAGATTAAATTATGAATGAGCCCTTCCATGGTTAACGAGCACTTTGAGCTACTTGCCGCGATCCCCTAATGAAATTTCTGGTTCGTTTTAGCCTCGGGCTGTACCCTGCTGCCAGGCCAGGCACGTGGCCTGTCGCTGTGGCTGCAACAGCCAGCCCTTTGCCGCCACCCGCCAGCGGCCGCCCCCTTCGCACTGCTGCTGCTTTTAATGCTGTCGTTTCTCAACCACCCATTACGGGGCTGGAGCATGTTTTAACAGCGGCTTTTGGTTGTGATTTAGTGGCTGGCCGAAGCGACAGCAACCACGATGCCGGCTTAGCGTCTGGCCGGACCAGCTCGAGCTCTTCCCCTGCAGTCGCTCCAGCACCCACCCCTCGGAAAACGTTTTGTGCAGCACTCAGCACAAAATTTTGGGCATTTCATGCAATTATTGCCGGGCAACAGACACGGAGAGAGCGAGAGAGAGAGAGAGAGAGGGAGAGAGAGATGCCGGGCCCAAATCCAAACCTAATGGCAACCACCAACAGTTTGCACGCTCAACAAATTTTCACAAGATTTTCACAGCGCTCGGAAAAGCGCTTGCACAATTGCGCGCTTGAGCTTGTACTTGCTCAGATTTTTGCATTTTCTTTTACGTATATATATATATAAATATATTTTTTTTAATCCTCAGACACCCTTGTCAGATTTAGCTGCCCGCACCCCGAGCTCCCGATTCTATAAAACAGCCCACCCGGAGCTTCTGTTTATCCTGTTTGGCTTTGTGATTTAGCGCCCGTTGCTCTATCGACTTCTCACACATCATTTGACGAAATTTTTTTTAATTAAAATGGTATTTTGATGCGTTAGCAATGGAGCGGGGTGAGGCGGGAGCTGTAGGCTTTTGGAACGGGTAGACACAAAGAGGCGTGCCTCGAGACGCTTTTGGGGCATTTTCTTAATGCGCATTGAGCCCTAATTAAATGTGAAGTACGCGCTGCTTATCTGGCTGGGAGGGGAAGCTCCTGCCTGGAACGGGGCGTGGCATCGTAAATTTCAAGTCGCTAGATGAAAGGCACGCATGTGGACACACACACACACACTCACGCTCACCCACCAGCAACATTTTTGCATTCCACCCAAGCGCCGTGTGAGCCTTATCTTTGGACAAGCCCACACACGAAGACGCACCCCTTGCAACATGGTCCCTTGGGGGCATAGCCCCGCCACCCACGCCAGTCTGTCCCTGGCCCTTTCTCAGTCCCAGTTACAGTTTCATTCGCGCTTATCGCTGCAATAAATCGCATTAATTTATTGTCGTCGGCGCATATTTTGTCCACTGAGCCGCGGCTCTGCCCAGACCTGCTACAATTTAATGGGCTTGTCCGTAGTGTACCCAGGCCCCAGTCCATCCCAAATTGTTGTTATTGTTTTCCATTTAACACTTTTTAGTTGGCTACCTGAAAGTATGCAACACGGCACAGGGAAAGCAGCATAGTAAAAGCAGGGAAATGTAGAAAAAACTTGCCAAGATTCTTTAAATGTAGCAAATGAGAGAAAGAGAGAGAGAGGTCAGGAGAGAGAGAAAGCACAAAACTTGTTATTTAAATGATATAGAAAAGCTTGGAATCAGTATCTATATGGTATAATAATATTCTAATTGTCATGACGATTAATATAAATATTAATGGATTGCTCTTAGCTTAAATTATTTTCTTGACGTTCATTGAAAACATTTCCATGAGCCCTGTGCCTCCTTAATGTTCAAATATATCAGAAACAATAAAGTATATATATAATAACAACAATAGCCTATTGTAATTCATATATTGCTCCCTGAAAAAGCTTAGTGAAATATAAGAATTCTATCATTGGATAAGAACTTTTACAATATATGTATAGCCAGAGTCCTTGTAAGACGTTATACATAACATTATTAAAATGAACAAAAAAACGATTATAAATTATATTTAATTTATTTGATATATAGTATATAGTATATACTTCTAAAATATTTTATAACTATTTATGTACATTACAGTGTATACCAGTTCTAATTGATACCTTCAGGGCAGCTCCATTTTGAATACTGCATTAAAATGCTCAAACATATTTTTATGGGTCTTTTTCGTGTGTTTTTTTATCTATGTCAGCATTTCAGTTAGCAGTTGTAATCTTCATGCATTGGTCATGTGCGAAATTGTTGCCTAGATGCTTATCAACAGAAGGCAAGGGGCTGGCTGCGTCAGTCTCTGGCCAGGACTATGGGATATGAAAAGGGGCTGGAGGGTGTGTGTTGCGTGTGGGCAGCTGGAATATTTATAACACCATGGCTGCAATTTATTATGCAGTGCTGCAGGGTAGCTGTCTGGTATCTGGACGTGGTCCTGCACCAACTTGAACGACCAGTCAACAGTCGCCAGTCACCAGTCGCCAGTCACCAAAAGATGTCACCTAGCCGAAACCCCATTCAAGATTTATGCAGCCGAGTTATGGCGCAGCAGACGGCAACTTTATCGTTCGACAAGGTTTTTGTGTTCTTCTGGTTTGTGGCCACCAGGTTTTTGTGGCATAGAGGAGGCCGTTCCCCAGGCCTGATTCACTGCAGCTCTCCTTGTTGCAGTTGCAGTAGTTATTGTTGTTGTTGTTCTTGCTGTTCGTCTGCCTCTTCCACATTTTGGTTTTGTACTGGACATTTCCTGCTGCCGTTGCACGTTATCAACACAAAAGTTCTTGTCGTTGTCGGGCTTCTAGTTTTTGTTATTGTTATTTCTCTTTCTGTGAATATGTGTGAAAGTATTTTTGCGAGGGCTTTGCATGAGCTAAGCTGCGACTAAAGTTATTCGTAATTCGAATGAAAAACAATAAACAAGATAGCGCTGCTTGCGTTTAGCTAACAGGCATGTGAATACTCTAACCAAGCCAAGATAATAAACAAATAAAAATCGAGTGTGCTTAACTACCAAATCCTCTGTAACCTGCAGTCAACATTATATTTTGGATTACATCATCAAGCTCGATACGTTCATGCAGAAACACAGATCGACATGGCTAAAACGGCTCAGCTCGTCCCTCTGATCCAGAATGTATACATATATATATACTTATGGTGACGTGTTACATACATCAACACAAAACAAATATTCCTTTTGCTTAACCATTTTTAATGGGTGCAGACTAAAATTAGTTATTCAATAGGCAACTTAAAATAATAATAATAATTTTAATAATAATAATACTACAAAAAATAACAATAGAAATAATTGTAATAATAAACATATTAATATACACTTAATATAAGTAATATAATATTAGCTTGAATATTATAATTGATACGTTGATATTAGGATATCATAATCGATTGTCATTAATATTAATATATTAATCTGTCGCATTAATAACTATACAAAATTGTTGATTGTATATTATACCTCAATGGCTTTTCCAATATCTTCCGGTAGAATAACATTTATATATCATAACCTAGAAGTCATAATCCAGAAGCCCTATCTATAAAAATAACTAATTTTAAAATGAGCATCAAAATATTTAATCATCTTCCATCGAGCGAGTAGCCTGCGTAACCAAACACTATACTAATCTAGGCCTTATCAATGCTTCAGCATATAAAGATAAATGATTTTGTATACCTCGAACATTACGAAAACAGGGTTTGAGTTTCCTTTTATGAACACTGACACATTACCCCTAGCTTAGTGTGAATAGAGTAGAGATTGGTATGCTAAAAATTGCTTATCCAAAACGCACACACACACATACACAAACACACACAAACAAGTACACACACATTTATCGTGTTTCTTGCTATGAGTTAAAAGAGCAGCAATATTTCGAATTTAGTTAGGTTTGAGCGATAAAAGCCCGCTTAAGAGCAGCCAAAATGTTATGACGTTCATAGATTATTTCCTTTAAATATATTTCTCTCTCTCTCTCTCTCTCTCATTCTGTCTCTGTGTCTATCTCTCTAATTTTGTTGGCCAATGTGCCCCAATGTTGTTGTGGGCTAAGCAAAAGTCATCGTCTGTTGTCTGCGTCATCAACATAATCATTGGGATTGGATTCAGCAGCGCAAAACTAATTAAGCATCGCATTTCATTTCCAATTCGGTTGCTCTGGGGAGCTAGCCCAGGCCAGAAAATATGAAAAAGCAAACAAACCTACGACGAGAATATAAAGCAAATGAAAATACGGAAATGACAGGGAGAACAACCCGAAATCGAATCGAAATCGAAATATAAGCCAAATAAGTTTCCGTTACCGATGCGCTTTCATAATTAATGTGAACCAATTACAAGAGCAACAACAACAATCAAGAAAAATTCTCGTAATGGTAATAAAAATGAAGAGAAACATCCAAGTCAAAATTCGAGTGCTCCAGCTGCCGCCTTGGATTGATGTGTGCATTACATAAGCACTAATCCGCATCCGCATCCGCAGCCGTATCCGCAAATGCCTCCTCCTC